TTAAAAATTGAAAAAATGTTATTTATACAATAATTGATCATAATTCAAAAATTCAAAAATAAATAGTTTATTATTACAAGTATAATCATAAAATATTAATAAATTTTTAAATATTCTTTTTTATATAACATTCATAAACAAACATGAATATCAAAATATAGTGATATATAATAAGTGACATAAATTTATTTATTTAATTTATATTAATTTATATATAATGTTTTATTCATTTTAAATTATATATTAAATAAAATGTCATTAGATTTACGTATAATTAAATTAAATGATAATCTTCTGAAAAAATATTTTTTATAATTATAAAATATCATCATACTTTATGTAAACTTTATATATGAAATATATGAAATATATATAAAATTGTCTTTAAATTAGATATGTAATAATATTTAATTCATTAAATATTATCATTAAAGATTATAAATATAATATAATTCAACAAAAATAATTGATATTAAGAAAAAATAGTTCTAAGTTAAATATAATAAATATGGTTTTTATATTTTTAAAATTATAATGTATAAATGTTTTTAAAAAATATTAGAATGAATATTATAATGATTTTTTTTTTTGAATATCATTTATATAAATATAAATTAAAAAAAAAAATTATTTTGCTTTTAATAATATAATTAATAAAAAAAATAATAGAAAACATAATTATATATTCAATTTTGAATGATAGATGTAATTTTGGAATAATTAACAATTTTCCAAAAAATTAATATTATTAAGAGTTATAATTTTGCAATATTTAATCTATGATACAATCAATATTATATTTAAATATATATACACATAACATGGGAAATATTTTTATTTTAATTTAAATAATGCTATGTTTTTTTAATTCTTTTTTAAAAAAAAAATATATAATTAAAATCAACCTAGCTAACAATGGACACAGTGCCTCATTATCTCATATTTCGAAGTACAAATGTACATATATATTATAAAATAAAATTAGAGATATAAAAAATTTTAAAATTTTACAAAATTTAAAATTCGATCAAGATAAAGTATGAGATAGTTATGCACTTAAAATTTTTTAAACAATTATCTTCTTACATCTTAAATACATACATAAAATAAATGTATATTTTATTTTTTATATTAATTGAATTAATATTATAAAAGCAATTTTATAAATTTCAATATTATTCTTGTTAAATTTTAATATGAACTATATGAAAATATAATGAATATAAATGTATGAATAATATGTAGAATATAATTTTTAAGTATTTGATTTTATAATAATAATTAAAACTCTATTTTTCTATAGTAATAGAAATGTTATGAGTAAAAGTGAATTCATGTGCCAAAAAAATATATGTATTAGTGTACTTTTATGAATATTATTCAAAAAACATAAGATTGTATTTGAATTTTAAAAATCTATTTAAAGTATCTTCATCTATAATAAAATTTTCATTGTTATTATAAATATTTTTCATCAATTTCGAATTATAAAGAAAACAAATAAATTGATATTAACTCTTCATTTCAAATAATTAATTTATAAAACATCATGCTTCATTTTTATATTGTAATATATAATACTTTATACTTCTATTTATTTTATAGTATATCTCATACTATTTTTAAAATGTGTATTTAAATATTTATTATACATTGACATTGAAATATATATGTATATGTAATTATTATACTAATATTATAAAAAAATGAATTATAAAAAAAAAAATAAAAATCACGGATTTATTCTAGTATATTTTATGTTGTGAAAAACATGAAATTTTAATATTGTATAAATGTATAAACTATGTATAAAATAAATGTGTAAACTAGTATAGTATAACGAAAAAAGATAAAATATAAATGTAATAAATATATTTAAACTTATGTTCTTATACATAAAATTTTTTTCCTTATTATTTATAAATTTATAATTAAAATATATAATTATCATTATATAGTAATTAAAAACAAAATATAGTATATTATATAGTAATCAAAATCAAAATTAATTTTATTTTATATTGATATATTATATCATTTATATTATTTTTAATTTTTTAAAAATTAATTGTTTGTATTTTAAGTATTATTAAAAATTTTTAATTTTTATTAATATAAATCATTAGAATTTAGATTAATTGTTAATCTTTAATGTGTTAATCTCTAAAATAAAATTTATATAACACTATGAATTTTTTTTTATAAACACATTTATATATATAATATTATTTATATATATAAATATTTTTATTAATTGCAAAGAATCAAAATTAAAAATAAAGGTTATCATAAAAATTAAAAATTAAAAATTAATATTTATTTTATACAATTCTATCTTTATTTGTTTTATTAACAAATAATTATTAAGTCGTTTATTAATATATTAAATATTTTATAGAATACTTTTTTTATAAAATGGATTAATTGGACTTGGTATAGGACTTGCTTTTAATACACCTGCTAATGGTTTTTTATTTGCATCAAAAGGTATAGCTGGGCTTTTCCGAATTTGTGAAATATATTCAGATGTATGTTGAGCTGTATTACATTGAAGAGCAATTTTTACTCGTTTTTTGGAATTTGTAGTAGTTCTTATTTTATGTTGTTCTTTCAAATTTTTATTCTGTAATAAAAATGTTAATGTACAAAAATGTTAGTTGAGATTTATTTTTTAAATTATAAACATTTAAGCTTGTATAAAATGAGATGCAGAATGTAATATATATTAATATATATATATTATAAAAAAGATAATGAAGATATCAATAATCATAACAATTTCAAATAAGTTATACAATTTGCAAACTAAAGAAAAAAAGAAACTTGAAAATTTAGTTAATATTTTTCAATTAATAACTGAAATAAATATAACAGAACTTACATTTCTTTCATTTTTTAATTTTGTTAGTATAGGCATTAACCATATTGGCTTTTTATTGAGTATATTTTCTTGCTCATGATTATTTATAACTGAATTATCAACAATTTTTGAATTGTTTTGAAATGATTTTGTGTTATTATTCAATGAACAAATAGGTGCCTCTACATGATCAGAAACATTCCACTTCCCAGTATTTTTTAATTTTGTTGATTTTTTCCTCTTTGCTTGAGTGATAATATTTAATGTTTTTACAGTTGTATTTTTACTTTTTTTTAATTTTATTTTTTTATTTTCATGTATATTTTCAATTAATAAATGATTCTTCCTTTTATAATTATTTTTTAAATTTGATTTATAAATATTTTGATTCTGATTCTTTTCTATTATTTTATATTTTGTTTTTTTCATATTAAGACTGTTTTTATCTGATATTTGTAAATTTGTATCTGTTAAATAATTAATAGTATTTAATTTATGTTTTAATTTTCTCTTTTTTTTTATAATTTCATTTTCATCTATTTCTGTAGATTCACTTTTACTATTATTTTCATCACTAATATTTTCTAATTCTTCTTCACTAGATTTATTATTTTCATTATTTTGCATTAATTGTTTGTTTTTTTTTCTCTTGCGTCCTTTTTGTAACTTATCCATGTATAGTTCATTCTCAAATTTTAAAAGACGTATTGCAGCCGATTTTGTATCTATATTTTTCTTTTGTATTTTTGAGATTTTTATTTCCTTAATACCTAATGGCATTTTACCTTCTGATAATTCTGTAAATCTGCAAAAAAATTTTAATAAATTTAGATTTATTAATTAAATTTATTAATATTTTTAATATATTTTTTAATAAACAATAGTATATTTATCATACTCTTTAATAAGACGACGTAATTGTCTACGTGATTTTGTTGTTGATGATGGATGAAATTTATATTTATTTAACAATATAGCTATCTTTTCAGAATTAAAAGGTATTTGAGGCAAATCAACATCTATTCTACCAGCTCTTGGATCTAGTGGTTTTTCTACATCACAATTTATTTGATTTTGAAGAAATTGTTCTTTTACTTCAGTAATATTATCATCTATTTCATCATCTGATAGTTCAATTTTTTCCATAATATCAATAGAACCAGCAGGAAAACCAGCCTATGTAAAAATAACAATATATATTATTAAAAACTTTGTAACAAATTATATTGCTTTATCCAATTGCATTTATCTAATATCTAAATCTAAATATTTATCTAAATATTTATTTTTATTTTTTTATTAATAAATTGATCTCTACTTAAATTAAATAGATGAGATTAAATTGTTTCTGATTTGAATTAAATCTAAAACTAAGATGAAGAAAAAATTTCAGCATTCCAAATCATCACTATTCTAATGCTTTAAAATAACAATACAACTTCAGTAAAATAATATTTTCCATAATCATTATATTAAAAAGTAAAACAAAATTATTATAATTATATATTATATATATTACATATAATAAAAGTTTCAAATAATAAAAATATTAATACTCACATCTCTCCAAGCTTTAAATTTCTCCATATAATCTATACCAATATCTGATTGAAAAATTAAATATCTGAAAATATGCCTCATAATATGTCTAATTTGTCTTTCATCATCCATAGGTATAAAATATGAAATAAATGGTTTAATAAGTTCTGTAACAACATCTTCTGGTACATTTCCATTACTGATCTACATAAATTAAAATTTATTATGTATTAATAATATAATATTATAATTAAAATAATATAATATTAATATTATTAGATATTAATAATAAATAAATATTTAATATAATTTTTAAAAATTACCTTTGAAAGTTCTTCTAAAAATATTTCTGTTATATGCATGTTAAAACCTTGACATATTTGTGGGTCTACTAATAATTTTTCAAGTATTTCAGAAAAACCTTTTATCCATTCAATATCCCATAAATTTTCTTTACATTTTTGAAAAATTTGTCGAATTATTCTTCGAACTAACTGAATAAAAATATTTAGTAATAAAATTTTATAAAATGCAACACTATATATTTTATAAATACATATGAAAAATATTCCATAAATATTTACCATACAAAATTTATCTAACCTATATTGATCTATACCAAACCATTCAATCCCTAATGTTCTTAATGTACATAATATATAAAGTAGTATTATATCTTTAGTTTTAAAACAATGGACAATTTTACTAAGAGATTCTGCCAGTTCTTCCTGAATTAAAGGTTTATCTGACATCCACATACAGTAAAATAAACCTTTCCATAATCGCATAAAATCTGCTTCTGTGAATGCTATGAAAAAATAATATTTAAATTAATAATATAAATAAATAAATAGTTAAATAGAAATTAAAGTTAAATTAAATAATAAAATGATAAATTTTTAATTAATAAAAATATAAATCTTACTAAATGAACTTTGTGAACGAACTGTTAACCACTTTCTTAAATTTTTTAATACTCTATCTCGAATTATTTTATCATTACTTGAAAGTAATCGAGCAAATTTAATTTCTTGTGCAATAACAATTGCTTTTTTGTCTTTTTCATTTATTGAAATTATTTGCTTCATACGTTGCATAGGTATTTGCAACGATGCATGCGTGCATCGAACTTTTTTAACTGCCATTTTTAAGTATTAAAAGAAATTAACTAAAGGAAGTAACACAATGCAATTGCTATGCCACCTAAAACTTTTAAGGTATGTTTTCACATGACAATAAATTGTGATTTTTATGATTACAATATTAATTATGATATTAAATATCATGACATTTTCATTTATTTTTTTCATCATTGTATTGAATTTAATACTATAATATATAGCGGGACATACAATGTTTCATTGTCATACACAAGAATTATGATACTTAGTGTCATATGTCAATCATAGTGAAAAGTAACCTTAACATATATATCTCGATAGATGGTATAGCAATTGTATCTCTTTCTTTCTTAGTTTTTTTATCTCTAAATTAAAGTAACATCAGATTCCGAAAATCTAGAGTCTCATCTAATAATCTTAATCATATATTTTCTTTAGATATAAAATGTATTTTGAGATTTCATTTTAAAAATGTTCATTCATATTTTACATATTAATCTATAAATATAATATATATATATATATTGTATATATATGTATGTATATATTTTGTAATAAATAATATTTAAGATTACAGTTTTCAACTTTTCATCGATATATGAATTTATAAATCGTAATTTATAACTTACAACTTCATTTCATTTAAATCGAAAACTTTGTTAGAATCGATTTCAGTTCTACCAATAGTTACATTATTAAAATATTGTTATCAATGTTCTATATACATAAATTTAATTGAAAAATATTAACTTTTCTTATGATTTTTTTTATTTATTTAAAAAATATGTTAATATATATAAATTTTTGTTTAAATTATATTAAAAATATATAATTATATCAATTCATTCCATACTTTTCATCGTTACATTTATATTTTTATGTTAGAAACTGGACTTTAAGTATCATCTCTTACATTTCGATGAGATACTAACTACAAAAAATTGACGTGCTTGACGTGCAATTTTTTCTTCAAAATGAAGAATTGAAAATGTGATTTATTATATCGTTATATGTTCCTGTTCGATAAATTAACCAACAATGAATAAGGTACAATTTTATCAAATATATTGTATTTTATTTTTTTTAAAAACATTAAATATTTAAAAAAATTATATATATATATATTTATATGTTTTTATTATTTTTATTATTAATATACTTTTTAATATTTTTAATATATATATCCATAGATAAATTATTGAAAACAAATGAATTAATTTTTAAAATATTAACTAAATAATAATAAAACTATTTTGTTCATTATATATATATTCGATATATATTAAATTATTTAAATATATTTTTTTAGATGTCAAGATATCCTTCAGATTGCAAAGTATATGTAGGAGACTTAGGAAGTGGTGCAACAAAACAAGAATTAGAAGATGCTTTCTCTTACTATGGATCTTTAAGAAATGTATGGGTAGCTAGAAATCCACCTGGATTTGCTTTTGTGGAATTTGAAGATGCTAGAGATGCAGAAGATGCAATAAGAGGACTTGATGGAAGAACTATATGTGGAAGACGAGCTCGTGTGGAACCATCTAATGGGAGAAGATTAAGAGATAGGAGTTATTTCAGAAGAGGTATAGGAAGATTGTTTCATCCTGAAGATAGGTGTTACGAATGTGGTGAAAGAGGCCACTATGCTAGAAATTGTCAACGACATAGAAATACACGTAAGAAAAGGTGAGTATAGAATACATTTATTTCATATAAATTCTATGGCATGCAAAAAAATATTAGACAAGTAAGCAAGAAATATATATGTTATAGATTTTTATTTAACAAATATATGCTTAAATGTACAATAAAATTAATTTGTAATTATGTGTTTATATAAGATTTATATTTATTCTAAACAGAATATTGTACATAAATATTTAGTAAAATAGATTTCAATAAACAAAAGAAATTATATAAAGAATTAAAATTATTTTTAAATTTGAAGTATGAAACAAATGATATTATGTGAAAGAGAATAATATTTTATAATATGAAGGTTTTATATTCTAAACTGAAGAGGTTTCAATATCAAAAAGATACAGATGTAATACTAACATTTTTATAGGAGAACCAGCAGAACAGTATACACATGAGAAATGTGTTGCTACTGAGATTCTCGTGAGATTCGCCTTGGGTTCACTTTGTGATACTACGTAGTTACAGCACAAAGTACCCACGTTCCTTGGGTTTCTTTCTGCATTCTACAAGCAAAAGAGGAAAACATGGCCGATGGAGTGGCTAGTTCTGCACACTACAATACTTCTAACGACCACTGAGATCACCTTAAACTGAAAGTTTTTGCACATCAGCACTACTGGTACCTCTGATATTCTTCACTTGTTTTACTCTTTTTGCCAAATTATCATAATAGATCTAATGGTCACTGAAAGATAAACTGTGAGTCATTTCATCTAGCCACTCTTCGTCCACATATTTGACATTTGTGCAATTTCATCTGTATAAGTTCATCTGTTCTCTTCTTCTTGACATTATTATTGCATATTATATAGTTGTCTACAAACTGATATATGAATATAAAAAATGATACATAATTAAAATAATTATATCTTGAAACCTATAAATATAATTGTTTTTAAAATAATATAACATTATATTTATGATATTTGATAATTTAGATTTATTAATGTTTCATGCATATAATAATATATTTATTATATTGACATTTAAGCAACAGAAAAAAATAGGAAATATTATAAATAATGAAAATCAAACTATCATACTATATTTTTATAATTGTTATTTTTATGTGAATATGAAGTAAATTATTATAGTTTTCCTGGGTACTCGTCACAATTTTTGCAAGCCCAATTGTTTCATAAATTTTTTAAAATATGTAAAAAATATTTTATAATATATTTATAATCAAAAAATGTAAGAAATTTACATAAATAAAGTAGCAATAATATTCAAAATTATAGGCAATTTTAATACAATCATGATTTTAATGTAATATGTATTTTAGATCCCACTCCAGGTCTTATTCACGATCAAAATCTCAATCAAGATCACGGTCTCGTTCACGTTCGAAGTCAAGATCAAGAAGCAAGCATTCACGATCATCATCTCGTAGCCGTTCTCACAGTAGAAATGATTATAATAAAGATAAAATTCGTAATAAACGGCGATCTGATTCTAGAGATCGTAGTCCGCGCAGGACCAAATCGAAATCTGTTTCTAGATCTCGCAGCAAATAAAACGATGTATATTCTTTAGCTGATAAGTGTATGAAAATCATTTCTTATGTTAATAGTTATATGTTCTATCAATTAAGCTTTTTCATGATTAATTTTTTCTAATCCTTTGAAACAAGATGTTAAAAAAAAAGACTTATAAATAATGAAAATTATTAAAATTTTAAAAGTTTATAGTAATCATCAAGAAAAAAAAATAACAAATTAATATAAGTCCTGTAATCAATTTTTTCAATATAAAATCAACTGTTATTTACAAACATTTGATATGAATTTTCTCTATATATGTAAATAGAAATTGATTTAGTACATTAATTTAAAGATGTCAATATTAATAATAATTTTATATTGAAAATCTTTAACTAATATATTTTTAAATCAATTTCTTTATTTACATTTAATATATTGCAAAAAAACTCGATATTGAATATTCTTAAATAATAAAAATCGATTAATTATAAAGATCCACCAATTAAATATTTTTTATTTTTCACAATAAATACTATAAATCTTTAAAGTCTTTTTTTTTAGCATTTTGTATATTGGGGATATATATACAAACGCATATATCTCTAATTTATTTGAATATAATATTTACCTATCCATGATACTAGTTCGCAATTGCTATTTCAATAGTTAGGATATTAATATAATATTTCAAATATATATTTATGAAACATTTATTTGATTTCCTTTTATGAAATTTTTGTTAGTAAATATTTATATAATAATAGTATATTATTAGTAATTCATGGATTCCATATTTTTTAAATATCAAAAAATATAAGTTTATGTTCATTTATATTTCTCAAATGGAAATATAAATTACTTATTCAATAACTTTATTGATATTTTTCTATATTTTTTAAAACTAATTACAAAATTAAAATTAAAATTAATTATTGATATATCAAAAAAACAAAATTAAATTTTGAAATTTAATACTTGATTTTCCTTAAGTAATTTTCTTTACAATGTATTTTTTTATCTTTAAAACAAAATAAAATCTTATAATATAAAATCTAATTTTTATGTTATATATATTCTGTATTGTAAAATTGAAATTTATTAAAATTAATATTCAATAAATTTTTACTAAATATATGTAAATTTATTGTCACTTAAAGTATAAAATAGTATTTAAAAATATCAAATCATTTTAACAAGAATAGAATTATCATAATAAGTTTATTATAGATGTATTACATTATTTTTTCACATATGAATTTTTACACAATCTATACACTATAAGCGTGTGCTATGTGCATACTCAAAGAATGTTTACATTTCTAAAAAAATATTGACATTTATATTTTAAAACGGATTATTTAAAAATAAAAACATTTAAGTATCAATATAATATTTTATAAAATCAATGAAAATAGAAAAGACTGCGTAGTAATATGTTATTTTTGTCATTTTTAACAATAACGTGAAAATCATGTGGTTTGCATGAAATTATGTTGAATATGAAATTGAAACAAATATAATGATATATTAAATATATAATAATATATATTACTGTGAATATATTTACAAATAATGAACAAAATATTATGAGAAGTTATGAGAAGTAATTTATAAAAATTTAATTTTCTGCATTAACCTCATTTTTTATTTTTCCTGATAGATAATAGATGAAATATTTTTAGTGATCTTTATAAAATACATTTTTCAATCAAGATAAATTAATTGTAAGTACTTAATTCATATAATTTTTAAATCTATTGAATAGTAGATAAAAACATTATTTATAAAAGTAATATTTTATAAAGTTAATTAAAATTAATTATTTTATAAAATTATCTTTAAAAAAATGTGATTAATAAATAAAATTATATTAAAAAATATAAATAAAATTAAAAAATGCATTGAAAATGATATTATATTCCTAATATTTTAAATTAATTTATTTGATCTAATGTTTAATTGATATTGATTCTTACATATAAATTATCATTTTATATAAATACATGTACACATACTTTATATTTGTAAATGTAAAGTTAAAAAAAATCAAACTAATTATAATATTATCATATTTATATGTATATATATGTATATTATATGTATATCATAATATTTATTTGTTATTTGTATATATTGTATAATATTTTAAGTAATGTGTTTGGATTATGTTTAAAAAAGTATTTAGATTAATTTATAATTTTTATTTAAAATTATACTATATCTTATTATTTTATATCTTTTTGCATTCAAACTTTATATAATTTTTATATAATCATCACTTATGAATAAAAGTATCAATATAGAGATAAAAAAATAAAATTTCCTAGAAATTAATATAATTTTGATTGAAATGATAAAAAAATCCTAAATAATACAAATTTCAATTCCAAAATTGATGCAATGAAAAAAATGAAAGAATAAATGTAAAAAAACATATATTACTTAAATTTAATCGCTGCAAATACAAAGTAAGATAAGAAGATATGTTGAATCCGATTTCTAGGGTATCAGATCTACAATAAATTCCTTGGATGCACCGCAGGAGGTTTTGAGAAGTGGGGTAAGGAGTAAGGGTGGGGAAGTTAAGAAGAAGGAGAAGAGAAGCAGAGAAATTCGTAGCGACGCTTCGTAAGCAGATTCATTTGCTTTTTAGTCACGTATTTGTAATTCGTTGATTCGTTTTATGAATTATTTTGTACATTTGTATTTATATATACACATTTATAATTTGTATTCATTTGTATCTTAATTATGATTGATAATTTTATTATATTGAAAAAGTAATGAACAAACAGGTGTATTAGAAAAGAGAAAATAAGGAAATAGTAATGACTACAGTAAAGTAGATCACGGTGTAAGATCTTCCTCTTAAAAAACATCAAGTCAATTATCAGAGAATCAGGTTCAATTAAAAGGCAAGCAACAATTATCAGAATGACTGCTGCTTATACAAACGATCCTATATCTCAGGAACAGAACGTAGAAAAGAAGACAAGCACAATAGTTAATAAAATATTATACAACAAGAAAGAACAAGCAATGCTGGAGGAAAGTAGTGAATTTGCTACTACAGGAATTATGAAGCTTGCAACAGGTGGTGAGGAGCAAGAGGAAATCCTTGTTAATAAAGAAAAACTTACACTTTGTATATCAGTTAATACATCAGAATTGCTTGAACAAAAAGTTAAAAATATTGTGGAATATAAAAATAATGAAGATAGTGAATTTCTAGAAAAAAATGAAAATACTTCAGTTATTATTGAAGATATTCAAAATGCAACTATTAATATGGGTGAAATTAAAAATGAAGTGATAAAAAATTGTGATTTGAGTGTACCAAAATCGACTTCAAATTTAATTGTATCAATGAAAGTCGATGCGTTTCTCACTGAATGTGATTTTCAAGATATTATATCGGAAACACGTGAAACTGATCTTTTTCCGCAAGATAATTTTAAGTTACAAGAATTGCAAAACTCTATTGAAAGTATTGCTATGGAAATTAGCGATTTTTCAAACGATTTTGGAAATTGTAACGAATCATTAGAAAATACAGCTCTTCAAAAAAATAACGAAGAAATCTATGATCCAGAGAGTGAACTAAATTTTCACGAAGCTGTACGTGCTGGAGACGCCAAGTGCGTTGCGGCACTTCTTGCAAGTAACTTAATACAAAATCTAGACGAACCAGATTGGAATGTTTCAGGTGATCCACCCCTACTAGTAGCAGCTACAAATCATTGTTTGCCTATACTTAGGTAAGAAATTTTTTCTGTAAATTATAAAACATTAAATAAAATTTTAAATATTGAATAATAAAAGATTTTAAGAGATTTTTTTTAATTTTAAACATTTTTTGAAATGAAATTTTTTATAAAATATATGCATATTTATAGTATTAATGAAAATAGAATATATTTTTGAAAAAATATCATATTATGTATCATGCCAATAATTTATGATTGAGAAATACTATGATTGAGAATACTAATGATTGAGAAATTGAAAACATTAAATTTTGAAACAAAATAATTAATAAATAATAAAGTTATTAATTAAAAATAAAATTTAATTAAAAAATTTTAATAATAGTAATTATTACTAAATATTTATTTCCTTCATACTAATTTCTATCAAAATCAATAAATTTTAAAAAATTAATTTTGAAGAATATATAAATATTTATATTTATGTTTTAAATAAATTTATTTCGAAAATAAAAAATTAAATTATTTTCATTATTGATAAGTCTTTAATCTGATTATCTATCTAAA